CTAATCTAAGTCATCTGAATCGCTAAAGTGCTTCATTGATTCCTTTCGAGAAACCAATGTTATAGACTTTTCCTTGCTTAATTCCGTCATGATATCTTTGCGAATACTTTTGGTCTTTCTGTAGTTTTGAAGGTTTCCAAACAGAGAGTTTAGATCCATGACGTTGATCTTTTCACTATTCTTAAGTACATTAGTGTGATCTTCCCAGCTTTTGCTAAGAAAGTCAAGAAATTTAGAACCAGCTGAGATGAATGTTTGACGATTTCCAGTATACACATTTCATTAACCAAATAGTTAAACCTATTAAAGGTTTGGGTTAAGGACTCGCCTTGTTGAGCAAACAAAATGTTCATATCTTCGATTAAGGTTGTTGATGGTTGTGGCTTGAACTTCCACAGTGTCTTCATAAGCCTCTGTCAGCATTTCCAATCATCTCTTGGGTTGAGATACAATTCTACACAAGATAATACACATGATAGGGGAGAGATTTTAGTATCGTTGATCTAGCTTTAACATCAAGATTAACCAATCTCTTTTCATGGTCATCATAGTTAGTCTCTAGTTTTTTCTTTAAGAATTTTATGCATCGCATAGTCCATGCTTTTAAGAACAACCATGGCCTTAGTTTTCCACATGGTGAAGTTGTGCTCATCGAAAGGAGGAATTTTGTTGAGACCAAAGGATTTGGGATTATTCGAAGTCAACATGATTACTTGAGTGTATCAAAAACCCACTCCGATACCAATTAAATGTTTGTATCGATCATATACACTTCAATTATAAAGAACAAAAGCAAACTAATCTAAACAAAATAAAGAACAGAAAGTATAGAATACAAGGAATTCTCCAGGTTGTCTTTCACCAAGAAAGGTTTATTCTCACTAAGAAAACAAGGTTGTCAAAAATACGGCCAACAAGAAATATATATATTAGGGTTTCACCCTATTGTTGAATATATACTAATTTATACAAGTATATCTCTTAATTGAAGGGATTGTATCTAATCTATACTAAGAGTCGATCCTCATAACAAAGATATCAGATCTGCAATCTATTATATACTTATCTATATCATTACCCAATCTACAAAAGATTACATAGAATAACTATCTTCACACTGATGCTGATAAACATGATACGTTGATGGATAGCATGTAGAGTGTTTGACTCATCAGATCATAAGGTGTGACCTTACAAGAACCTTGAACAAACGCTATGGAACCTAACTATGAAAGTTTTTGAGATAAACGATTATACCGTTAGGTTCAATGACATTGTTGTGATGTGTCTGAGACTTGTAACCTAGGAATATAAGAAAATTGAGTGATAGGTCTGGGTTTAGCGCCACAGATCCAAGGGATGGTTATCTCAAAACCCACAACTTATGATAGTACAAAGCGCATAGACTATTGTCTAACCAACACGAAGATCCGAGGGGGATCTATGGAGGCAATGGTTGAGCCTCCCAAATCTAGAACATACAAGCACAAGTTCGATGGTGAAAATCCAAGGATCATCGTAGAAGAAACAAGAAGTGGCAACTATTTACGTTACTACAACAACAACATCAACACCCAAACCACCTAAATAATACGAAGGAAAGCAACAACTATGTAATCAATGAAACCGTCATCACCCAGGTGATTGTTTTGTTTGCATGAAGTGTAAGAAAAAAGAGGCACGTTGCCAAATACTATAGAAACACAACATGTGTAGTAGCCAATTAGGAAACAAACATGAGAAGAGGAATTAGTGGAGGAAAAACATGTTATGAGTGTGGAGAATTCATACATTTTAGAAGGGAATGTCTAAAATTAAGGAACCAGGGAGGCAATGCCCGTGGTTGAATAGTTTCAATATGATGTGTTTAAGTCAATTGATTATGAAAAGAAAATAAGAACATGTAGAAGTAAATAAGATCTTTTCTTCATTACAATAAATGTCCTGAAGGTACAAAGAGAACGAGAGTACAAATGATCAAAGCTTATGCAAAAGTTATTACACCTACCTAAGTACTTACCCTATTTATGGGGTACTCATGGAAAAAACAATAGAAGGACTAGACATGACTATATAAAACTTTCTTCTACCTTATAACTACTTTACGATAACAAAAGTCCTTAGATTTTTGCTATTTACAGACACAATTATTAAAGACAATAAAATTCGTCTCTCACAAAAACTTTCGACCTAACATTCCCCCTTTTTTGTGAGAAAAGACGAATCTTAAAGTAAATGTCTTCATTGTCTGTAACAACACCTTCCTTATCTCTATATACCAAAAGATGTTTTTTCGAACCTCTGCCTTTTCCTCATTTTTGTTTTTCTGCAATTGTTGATGTGAAGCAAAATGTTCGAAAAATGAGATTTTGTGTACATCTCAATATAATCTATGCGACAAAGGAACTTCTTTAAATTTCCCTTTATATTCTTCCCTTGGAAAACAAAACAAATGGTTTATAGATTATTTCCCCATTTCAAATTTCTTGATGCTTAGCTTCCCCTTCATTGGAGCTTCCGGGACCTTTGAAGTTTTTTGATTGCCATGGCTAGATCAATATATATTTCAGCCAACTATATATAGTAGCAATCACTGAAAGCCTTGATATTGGCATATCCAATAACGAATGAATTCCGATTTTCCTAAGCTACTTGTGAAGTATCCACATCACACAAAATCTTTGAAACTGTGATGAGATTATTAAGATTCATCAATGGAAAATCTGCGATTGTAAACTCGAACGCCACATTGTTAGCTTGAACAACTATATAGCAAAAATTCCACATTAACGCCTCAAAAAGATCATCAGGGATAATCGATATAACCTTCACAATTTTCATCAGTGACTAAACCTCCTCTTCACTTTTTCCAAGAACTACATGAAAGCGAATTTTCAACCTATTAAACTCAACTTTATCTTTGAAACTTTCAGCAAGCTTGAATTGAATGAAGGCAAATATTAGATGATTTATTGGTAAATCAAGTTAATTGAAGTTGGCGTTTTTGATATCATAGCTCTTCTTCATACTCTTCATGAATTCCTCCACCTTATCATGAATTGTAATCTCTATAGTTTCGTAACACCAAGCCTTATTTAGAAATCCCTTTTTTTGCAATTTTGACACATAAACATTTACTCGAGGAGCATTTGTTGTTTCTATGGATGTTGTTACCATCAACTTCATTGGTAGAGAAATAGGAATTTTAGTAGACCGGACTTTTCCCACAAGAAATCCTATATCTTCACTTGTTCCCATTAATGAACGAGCCCCTCTTTCTCCTCCTTGTGACACATTTGTAGAACGTGGAGCATTGGTTGATAGGCGAAGAACCAAGTCATGTGTAGGAGCCAATTTTGTTTTGAAACATGATTCAACAGACATAACCATAGCAGATATAGACTCTTGAAAAATAGAAAATTGTAACGAAAGATCAAATTTTGACAAAGTCTCTTGAAAGCCAAAAAGAGACTTCTCAATTTCCTCAAACATTTTCCCATCTACATCAGACTTTAACTTAAAATCACCAAAATATTCTTTACTGAATGCAGTAACATCTTCCACCAAATGAGTTGTTACTCCCATTAACACATCAACCTTTTTAGTAAATGAAACAAATAAATTATCAAGATTATGAACCTCCTTGTAGATTAACTCACTAAACTCCATGATCTTCAACTCAATAAAGGCTTTGGAATCAGTCACCATCTTCTTGAAAATCACATGATGCTCACAAGTAGTATCATGTAATTTCGTAAGTTTAGAATCAAAAGTACGAGAATGAGTAGCCAACGTTTCGTCTATTCTTTTATCAACATCTTCAATAAGAGTTCGTATGTGAGATTCTTAAGCTTTTAAGAAATATTCTACCTCAACACCACTAACGGATGACTTCCCAACAATATCATTCAAAAAATTGTAAAATCTAATTCAGTTTAGATTTGAGAATTTTGAATTGTTTACCTGACATAATTGCATTATTAGGCACATCATCTTCCTTTGGATTGATCTCTAAGTCAGCAAATGCAACCATCACATCATCATCATTTTCTTTTTCATTAACAACTTGTTTAACTTCAGTTTACTGAGACAAAAATAAAGTTATAATTCGGTCTTGCATCACTTTGGTGAAAGTTGGAGAATGCTAGTTGTGGAAGTAGGAAGAGTCATACAAGTAGCAGGTGGTGAAGAATGTGGTGGTGGTACATCAGTGGTTTCGATGGTTGTAGTACCTATCATTGATTTCTCAATAGTTATTCTCCCATAACCCATGTTAACATTTATGTCCATATTAGATAAGTTCGCATTGATGTTTGAAGTTTCGTCCTCCTCCATATTGGACTCAGACTGTGAAACCTCGGGTGGTATGAAGTTTGTCTTCTCATAGAGTGAAGTGCTTGGTTGTTTACCAAAATTGATGTTTACGTCCATATCAAATATGTTCAAATTTACATCTGGAGTACTTGTCTCCTTGAACGTCGATTTGACAGAGGTATCCTTCCTAGGTAAAATATGAAGCGATCCATCAATCACATCGTTTTTTTCTTCGCTATCATTATCTATTCCAACTATAAGGTTTTCCATTTCTTTTTCATCAAACGAAGGCTTAAACTTCATTAAATTTTTAGAAACCCCTAACGCTTTCACTTCTTTGAAGTTGGAGATCATGAGTATAAACCTCTTTGAACATAACCCCTCGTTTTGTCACATTTAAATTTAAGTTCTTGGACTTCTTTAAACAGTATTTTGAGTAGTAGCTTCCCCCTCTTGAGTGGTGATTTCGTAAACTGGAGTGGAAACCTCCTCTGTAACTTTCTCAGCTTGTTTCTCCAGTTGCTTCTTAAATTTTTTTTCGTAGGTTGTGGCTTTGGTTGCTTCACAAGAACAAACTTCTTTGTGTTTTTAATCACCCCTTTCCTGGTTTCGTAGGCATAGTCTACTTAATCACTTCCTTCGTAACTACTTTAGGTTTCACAACTTGCTTCTTCGTTTTCATGCCTTTAGTTGCTTTAGAAGATCACTCTACATATTCAAAAATAACTTTCATTGGAACAGTCCCAATATGAGTTGGACCCATTAAGCTTTATATGTGATCAATAATTTATTGTTAGGAGTCACCAATTTAAGCATTGAATCAAGAATTTGACCAACCATAGGAAAAATCACATGATCATCAACAACAAACTTGGGAGTCATCAGAGAAAATTAAGCAACATCATCATTAGTAGGGAAATGAATACCTTCTTGAGTATAAATGTCTATCAAAATTAAACTCCAAACGTAGCACTCGAAACTTATATTGTGATCTTCAAATGAGAAATTAAGTTTCCAAACTTAGCCTAGAGTAAAGAAGCATAATCAACAATCAAGCCATAGTACAACCCATCCATTATGGAATAGCATTTCAGTTTCCCCTTATCCAATCCAAAAATCAATCCTTTTAAAAAAAAAAAAGAGCGACCCAAAAGAAAAAACTCCAAATACCAAGAACACATGACTTCTTCAATTAGCTATTGATGGAAAGAGATGGTTGATGACCGATTTAATTAAACATATGAATAACCTATTCACTAGTTCCTTCATCAAACTCACCTACAAATGGTAACTTCAAGTTTTAAGCAAACAACTTCTTTATAAATCTCTTGGACTTGTTTGATGTCAACTGAAATGTAACAAATTCACTCATTCAGTTGTAAACAGCAGTAGAAGCAACCAATGATAACCACTTCATATGAATTACAAATGAAGAATTCAATGTATGAGTGAGAATGGAATCATCCATCACTTGAACCAACATAATCAACTCATCGGGATAATCTTTGATCAATGGTTTGAACCAAAGATTATGTGACATCCACAAATTCCTGGTCATTTTAAAAAATTTATTTATGCTTATTTGAAAATCAGAGTATTCATTTTAAAGAATAATATTGCGGAATTTGTTCCCAGAAAACATGACAAATATATTATCAAAGCATTTCCAAATAAATGTATTTTGTTTATAGTAAAACTTTGGGATGTCATCATCAATACTGAAACATAAGCATAAACGGATCTTATTTACACTAGTGATTTACATCTCCTTTAATCTCTTAGTGTAATGTAGTTTTGTATCGATAACTGTGATACAAATAAACTAAGTGTGTCAGGTTGGGAAACTTGATGACTACATAGGGTTTTCAACCCACAGTAATAAAGTTATTATGTTTCATCATTAAACAATTAACCCAATTACCCATCCCCATTATCTTCTTTGTTTCTTAAGGGTCCACCCTAAGAATCATCTATCATTCACTCATTCATTCCTAAGGGTTATCCTAAGGAATAGGCACGAAGACCATCACTGCCAATGACACAACTGCCAATGTTATCTATTAGGCACAACTGCCAATGTTATCTATTAAGCACAACTGTCAATATTATCATTTAGGCGCAACTACCATGATTATAACGTTTTCTATTTGGTTTAGCTGTCGATATTATCCTTTAGGCACAACTGCTAGGTCCAACCATTACTGGTGCTTTTGCTTTTGTTCAATACATAATGATTGAAGCTAATTTTGGTTGGTTAATCGGATCAGTTCATCGATGGTCGGCAAGTATGATGGTCCTAATGACGATCCTACATGTATTTCGTGTATATCTCACCGATGGATTTAACAAACCTCGCAACTTAACTTGGATTACAGGTGTGGTTCTGGGTGTATTGACTACATCTTTTGGTGTAACTGGTTATTCCTGATCTCGGGACCAAATTGGTTATTGGGCAGTGAAAATTGTAACATGTGTACCTGAAGCTATTACTGTAATAGGATCACCTTTGGTAGAATTATTGCGCAGAAGTGCTAGTGTGGGACAATCCACTTTGATTCATTTGTATAGTTTATACACTTTTTTATTGCTGCTTCTTACTGTCGTATTTATATGAATGCACTTCCCAATGATACGTAAACGGGATATTTCTAGTCCTTTATAGAGAAGATATATCATAGATATTTTGAATTCATCATTTATCACTTGGGGTAGGAACAATAGTATTTTATTGCTACAAGTATGGATTATTGAAAAATAATAAGACATGTATTTGGATATTTCCCTTGAGCTCCGCAATATTTTTTATTTTACATAAATACTTGAAGGGAATTTTCCAAAGAGAAAATGGATTATGGGAGTGTGTGACTTGAACTATTGATTGGTATGTGCAGATATCTGATTATCTACCACATTTAATTCACAACCAAAAGTGTCTTTGTTCCAACCATCATGTAAGCCCATACAGAGGATAGGTTGGTTCGCTTAAAGAGAATCTTTTCTATGATCAGATAGGAATCATGTCATACATGAGCAAGCTCCGTAAGATCTAGTTCACCTAACTTCAGATTGAATTTAATAGTATACAAATACATTCATTTCCACTGCATTGATGCAATCTAGGATACTATCGGAGTGAAAAAAGGGTCTAAAGAAGAATAAAGGCTAGGTTATATTAGTAACAAGTAAATCTTTTGTGTGTGTTTATAAAAGGTCTCTTTGGGGATAAACACCAATCATAAGGTCTGAGACAACCCATAAAGCAATTGATCATATCACGATCTATTTTATAAGCCTACTACATTGTAGTTCAAAAACATCTACAGGTTGTGGCACAACTGCCAATGTTCCTCTATCTCATATTTCATCCGTCATCATTCATCTACCCATCTTAACCCCAATATTTTTATAGGTATAAAATACATATATAATGTACATAAAATAAAACATGTATATTAGGTTCGTCCAGCATAGATATCAAGAACATAGATAATATACTCATATAGAATGTAATTTATACTAAATACTTCATATCTTTGTGTAAGATAAAAATAACTATGCACTCACTTGTTAAAGTGATGATTCCAAACTCGGACAACAATTCGCTTTTAACGATTCTATTTTCCTTCGATGAAACCTAGTATTATTACCACTAGATTTTTGTCTAATATTAATTTTGAGTATTTACAAGAGATATTGTTTTATAAGGGTTAAACAATATTGTTTAGCCACTATGTACAGACAGGGGCAAGACATGAAACACTGGAGGGCAAGACCATTTTAGCATTATAGCACTTCTGAAATCCAACAACTCTATGCGGCCCTTCAAACCAGATTCTCTATACTGCGAGTAGTAAAAAGATATTATAATAACAGTTTGTATATTATATTTTATAATAAATTTATTGTTTATAAGTTCATAATAACGATATTGAACTTAAACATAAGCTATACTTAAAATATGGTATGCATAACTCACTTACTATGAGGCTTAGCTAGCAACCGGGCTCTACGGGAGCAGAACTTCTGAGCTGAAATCTCTTCTTCTAGGAGCCTTCTGGCACTCCAGGATTTGCCTCTTAGCACTTGGGAAGTACTAAGGCTTGGGAGGGGGTTAGAGAGAAGTTTGAGAGAGAAAGAATGGGAGAGGTGTGAAAGAAATAGAAGATTTTTGCATCTATTTATATGTTGGGAAATAGCCCAACTCGGTGAGTTCTGAGCTTCCACCCACACCTTGCCACCAGATGGTGACACTTGGCACTCAACTCGGTGAGTTCTGAGCTTCCAACTCATCGAGTTGAGTGCCAAGTGTCACCATTTGGTGGCAAGGCGTGGGGAGGACGCAATGGCCAGGATTGTGCCATGTGTCGCTAGCAGATTACTCCAAAAACTAATTATCTTATAAAATCCATAACTTTCTCATACAAACTACGTTTTTGACGTTCTTTATAAACACAACTAGGCGGCAACTTGATCTATAACTTTCCTTTAGATTCGGTCGGCTAATTTTGATTTATTTTTAAAGTTATATTTTAACATGCATGGACAGATAAAGTCCGTTAAAATTTCATAAAATTTTCATCCGACGTCCGTTTTTTACTGTCTTTATATCGTTGAGATCCTATTAATGAGATCTTGAATTCTCATTAAGGTTGTTCCAGCTAAAAATCAGTCCATATAAAATTCGAATTCCGGGTTGTGTACTGTTATGCTAAATCTTAGAAAATTCATAACTTTATCATACGAAGTCAGCTTTGGATGTTTGTTTTATGCACGATCTCGGTTTAACATATACTACAACATTCATTTAGATTGATAAAGCTAAAATGTAATTTATCATAAACTCACTTTTTACGATTTCCGATGTCATGTCGGTTTTGCCGTAAAACCTCGACATGTCATAACTTCTTTATTATAATTCGGATTTTAGCGTTCTATATAAGTACGGAACCCTTGTGATATATAATATAACTTAGTTAAGATTATTTATTCTAAATAATATTCTATCAGAAAATCATTTTTTACGATTATTGTCTCTAAATTGACTAGCCCTTTAGGATGATTACGTCCTAGAATCATCAACAAAACATGGATAGTAAAATGAGTCCATACGTTATCTTCTCATCCTACACAATAACCATAACTTCTATGTTCCTTCAAATGAGTATCTAGCTCTTGGACTTCTTGACTGCAGGCGGTGCTCTATCTTGCACTCGCTCTTTATCCTATGTTGGACTTTCAATCGTAACCTTCGAATTACAAAATTAGTCCTTATTGGAGACTCCTACTTCTTCTTAAACATACTTAACTTAAGAGAATTTCTTTACTTCGATTATCATGACAGATTGAAGGTTCGT